TTGAACCGCCAGCCGTCTGGTTAGCAGGCAAGAGTCTTAGCCACTATGCTACCAGAGCTCCCAGGGGCAAATCTAGGAACCCTAATTTACAGCATAAATAGGCTGTCAAGCATAACCCAGAATGTGCAGGAAATAGAAGAGAAGCTAGATGACTGGGACCTTTTAAAAATTAGATTCTTGTGCACATTGAAATATTTCATCAAAAGGGTAAAAAGAGAACCTACAGATTGGGAGAAAATATTTATCTATGACATATCTGACAAAGGACTTATCTCCAAAATCTACAGAAAACTTCAACACCTCAATACCAAAAAGACAAATAACTCAATTCACAAATGGGCAAAAGACTTGAACAGACACATCACCAAAGAAGATATACAAGCAGCCAACAAACACATGAGAAATTGCTCACAATCATTAATAATTAGAGAGATGCGAATCAAAACAACAATGAGATATCATCTCACTCCGGCAATAATAGCAAAGTTCAACAGATCAGATAGTAACAAATGCTGGCAGGGTTGTGGAGAGATTGGAACTCTTATGCACTGCTGGTGGGATTGTAAAATGGTACAACCGTTGTGGCAAACAGTATGGCATTTCCTTAAAAAACTGAAAATAGAAGTACCATTTGACCCAGTAATTCCATTACTAGGAATATATCCTAAAGAGGTGAGAGAGAGCACACAAACAGACATATGTACACCTATGTTTATTGCAGCACAATTCACCATAGCAAAGAGATGGAAACAACCTAAATGCCCATCAACGGATGAGTGGATAACCAAATTATGGTATATCCACACAATGGAACATTAAAGAACAATTAGGGATACGCGAATCATCTCGCAACATGGAAGAACATGGAGGACATTATGCTAAGTGAAGTAAGTCAATTGCAGAAGGACAAGTACTGTATGAGCTCATTACTGTAAAAAGACAGAGAAGGGTTTGCTTGGGAAAGGGACTCACCTAGTAGGTTACCGGGATGGGGAGGGAAAGGGAGGGATTAATTTAGGGCTAGTTGGGGCTTACACGCTGACATGGGTAGGGGGAGGGATATATGAGAAGGATATATGACCACCATGATAACATTGGGAAATGAGAGGACACCGAACTATGCACAAAAGAGATAGACGACAGATGCTAAAACTAACCAATGTGTCCACAATACCACATTGCCATTAACCCCAAGCACTAGGCTATACAGATAAACACATAAACACTTGAGATGATCAGACAGGGGTCAGTGAGTAGAGGTATACTCTAGACTAAGGATAGACTCAGCTGAGGCTAATCTTGTACAGACACCAGTGACACAAAATACCTGCAGTCCTTACAGAAACAATAGAAGACAGACACAGAGTAATCCCTCACAGACATCGAGACACTATGGGAGAGAGATCCAATAGAGCTACTGCCTCAGGACCATAGTACTGGGGGACACCAGACTCAATTAGCACAACAGAATACATAAAAGCGTTGCTCCACATCCTACATTGGTGAGTAGTGACTGGGGTCTTAAAAGCTCTCAAGCAGCCATCTAAGATGCAGCTTATGGTCTCCTAGTGTTGGAAGTGAACAAGAACGCACCAAAAAAAAAAAAAAAAAGGCATTTAGAAGCAATCAACCCTAGGGCACGATGGCCCTCGAGGCCAGAAGAACTGGATGGTGCCCGGCTACCAATGCCAACCACTCAGGAAAGGATCAAATCTGGAGATCCTGGATAGAGTGGGAGGAAAAACATGGAACAAAATCCAAAAACTCAATAATGACCAGAATTACTGGTCAGATGAAATCTGGTGAGACTACCAATGCTACGGCCCTGAAATACATTTGGCGCCTGGAATAAAACTCACCCTCAGGCGCAGGCTCTCAGCCCAATAGTTAACAAGATGTACACGCAGACCACTCAACCCAGGATGCCCCACCCACACACTCAATGGTAATACATCCCTTAGAGCAATAGACCATGGGACACCAAAGGACCAACATTCAAACTGAGGAAATGCAGGACAAACCGGAGTGCATAATTATGAGGGACACAGGTGGGGAGGGCTGCAGGGTAGGGAGGGGAGGAGACTGGGTTAGGGTTGGAAAGAAAAAAAAAAAAAAAAAGACAGCACCCTTTCAAAGGTGGAAACCTTGAGAGACCCAGAAAGGCAAGGCATTATTTTCGAGTTCTGGCTCTCAGAAGTTACACTGTATTTTAGTATCGGAAATTATTTTAAAAGAAAGCTTTGTTTCTAGTCAAGGCTAATCCCTCTCCTGCTATGATTCTAATTCCATTACCTCCTGTTTATCCAGGATCTGGCATCTCTATTACCTTCTTCGTGTTAACTCAAATTCCTTTACTTATGCATTAAATAAATAAATACAAAGTTTCCTAAATGTAATCTTCTCTCTCTCCTCTTTGTTATCATGCTTCTTACGGGAAAAAAAAAGTCATAATAGTTTTCTCCAATTATTCCCATTCACTCTTCAGCATATTATAATCTGAATTCTTCCTCCACTATGTCATGTAAACAATGTTACTAATTTCTTTAATATCTAAAGGTAATCAATCTTTATCCTATTAGATCTAACAGAGATGGCCATTCTCCTTGAAACTCTCTATCTCATCATATCACATTTAGAAAGAAGGGTATGGGAAGCAGGAAGAAGTAGCAGAGGAGCTCTAGTAACATAATGCCTAAGGCATTTGACTGCTAACCAGAGGCTGGCGGTTCAAACCTACCAGCCACTCCTCAGAAGGAAGACTGGGCAACCTACTTCCATAGTGAAGCCCAAGGAGGGCTCAGAAGCCCAAGGAATGGTCACTACGATAGTGAGTTTAGTTTGAGTTATGATGGAAACCAGAAGCTGATATCTGCAAGTATGGAAAAGCAAGTCAGAGCCCACACTACAGACCACTACAGAAACAGGAAGCAAGTGTAGTCAAGTGAGAAGCCAGTGATCACAGTGCCTAGGAAATCCAATAAAAGAACCAGAAAGTAAAGTGGGTCAAAGATAAAAGAACACCCTGAGACTCACGGGCAACAAAAAAGTTGCTGATGCAGACAAAATTCTGCAGGATCCCTATGACTGACTGCTTCAGCTAAATTTTATTCTGAAATCTGTGTGTGGAATACTTTGTTTCCAGAATGCCTCAAGGATGCTTCCTTTATGTTTCTTAATACCACCCTCTTAAAGTCACTTCTTTCTCCTTTGATCATTTCTTCTCCTGTTTCATCGTCCATATTTCCTTTAATTATCAAGCATACATTTACTGGCTACTTGCTATATAGCAGGCATTGTGATATGTCATCAATGTACACAGTAATTGAGGTATGGTCCTTGCTCTCAGAACTCATTTTATTGACATCTCTTTCTCTCATCACCTCATAAATATTAGTATTTGCCAAAGTTCTTGCCTAGACTTTCTTCATTCCCACCCATGGCTCCAACTCCTAATTAAAGGTAGACTCCTGAAACTTTACACAGGTCTCACCTCACTTGTGTGCTTCAGCCTCCATTACTATCTCTCCAGCTTTTTCACCTGATGTTCTGTAGATATCTCAAACTCAGCTTGATCATTTGCCATCAACCCTGAAGAGATTAATGTGGAAACTTCTAAGTAACTCATCAACTTCTCTCGCCATATGGATCCACAACTGGATGGCAACTATTGTCAGTCTCATCTGCTAAAAAGCTCTCAAATCTGCACTCTCCCCTCTATTCTTTCTAATTCTTCATTAATTGCAGGCTATCATCACACTGGAATAGCCTTCTAGTTTTTACCTGCCACTCACTACCCTTCTAGTCAGTCATTACTACTGACATTAGAATTATTTTTCTAAAAGACAAATTTGATTTACTTTCTCCTCGTTTAGCTCCACCACAAACTCTGTAACAATAGAGTTTACCCCTGTATTCAGAAACTTTCCGTTTCTTCCACATATTTTCTCTCCATCTTTTTCTCTCAAGGAGCTGTGATGATGCAGTGGTTAAAGCACTCAGCTGTGAACTGGAAGGTGGGTGTTTCAAATACACTGGTTGCTCCATGAGGGAAAGATGCAGCAGCCTGCTTCCGTAAAGATTTACAGACTTGGAAACCCTATGGGGCAGTTCTAGTCTGTCCTATAGTGTGGCTATAAGTCAGAATCAACTTGTTGGCAGTGGGGTTTGGTTTCTCTCTGAACACCATGCTAGTCACACAGAATTGCATAGAAGCTTTGGTCATACTCTATGTCTTTCTTTGCCTATGATACTCTAATCTCATTTTGCCATCTTATTAACATTGACACCTTTTATCATTGGCTCAAATATTACTTCCTTTGTAAAGCCTTGGCCATCTTCTCCAAATAGTACTTACTGTTCAATCTTTCCACTGAGCTCTACTAAGTGTGTGCTTGTATTAAGAAAAAATCACATTTGTTTTGTATTCGTTTAAACACTTGTATAATATTCGCTTAGTTTTCTGTCTCCATCACTGAAGTGAACACCTAAACCTAGAGGGTTGGGGTTATATGCTATTCATTTTATATTGCCCTGTACCTAGTAAAACTGCCACCACAAATCTTTGCTGGAGGAATGAATAACTCTCCAAGTACAAAATGAATAGAAAAAGTAATATTTGTTCCATTCATTACTGGAATGTTAGGGCACAACGTGAATCTTGGTGAGATGGTTGAGAAAATGAAGATTGAGGAAGGAAATGATGGTCAAAGGAGAAAGGGAGAAATCAGAAAGAAGCACCGGTATGCACAGAAAACAAAGATGACAGGAAGGGAGATAGAAAATCAGAGGAGATCAGATAAAATAATATCTAGAAAGAGTCCAGCAGGATAAGGGATACCAGAATCCCAAGGAAATCTTTGCAATTTCACTCCACAAACCAAAACAAGTCTAATCACTTTATAATCACTATAAATACATGAACTATACATAGTTTCTAAAGAAAATACTGGAAAAAAAACTTACACTTGGCCAGTGAGGTGTTCGATCAAAAAAATTTCCAGAGTATATGGGTCTGATACGATGTGGAGGTTCTACTCCTGGTTCAATGTTTTCAGGGCTCTCCTTTTTCTCTTCAGTTTGTGGGGCAAAGTGGTCAGAGGGTTCTATCACTAAGCCCATTTGGGGCTCTGGCTCCTCTGGCTGGGGCAGACCAAAGTCCACCTCCACAGGATACGTCATCTCTGCACCAGGCTTCATCACAACGCAGGAGTCTTTCTCTAGTTCTTGTCTAGGTTCCATACCCAAAGCAGGCTGCTTTCCCACTGAAGCCTCTATCCCTTCAGGAGCACTAGCTACAGCCCCTCTCCTGCTCTCTAGAGCCTGTGGACTTCCACACTCCATGCCCAAGGTAGGCTGTATTATCCTTCCACAGGGTGACTGTGCCAGAAGTCTCTCATTTTCTAACCCCATTCTTCCTGGCAACATTCCCAGAGAAGATTTTGTTTCCTGAGAAGCTGAGACCTTATTCACTCCTAAATTATCCCACTCCGTGGGGATCCTTAAACCCCATGTAGAAATATTCTGTTTTTCTAATCCCATTTCAAGACCCTTGCTCAGTGGAGATTTTGCTTCTTGTGACCCCAAGCTCTTCTCATATTTATTATTAACCAGGGGGCTCTCTCTCCATTGTGAATCTTCTTTTTCTAAACCAACTCCAAGCCTCAACTCCATGGGAGATTGTGTTCCCATGAGAATCCTCCTGTGTCCTAAATTATCCTTCTCTTGGTGGGTGAGTCCGAGTTCCGTGGTCTGGGATTTACCCCAGACACCTTAATTCCGCCAAAGCTATTCGTCTCTAAGGGAAAAGCTGAACTTGGCTCAAGGGAAGTTCCCAATCCCCTAGGGGAACCCACTCTCACGAAAAGAGCACATCCCCACTAGGACCCTCTATCCACTGCTTTCTGCCGGCTTCTTAACACCTAGTGGAGTTCACACGGGAAATGGGGACCGAGGACTGTTTACCCGGTTACCTAGGAAACAGGGGCGGGGTTTGGAGCGCAATTCTTGCTGGGGCTGGTCTCCACCCTTCTTCTTTCTCTCCCATCTTCTTTTCTTTCTTTCCCTGTTTATTAGAAGTCAGATCTATCCTTCATTCTAGAGGTTCACGCAGCTTTATAAGGAATGCATGTGCTTCTCCTCCCCTCTGGGTGTAGAATAAGATTAAGTGGAACCATCTTTGCCAGGGTTGTGGGTGACTTCTATCCTTTTAAATGCAGAAAAGGGCTAATTTAGAGCAACAAAACTTGCATTGCCTTGGGCAAGAAATCAAACGCTTACCAACTTCACTTTGATTTCCTAAACAACGCAATCCATTAGGATGTTTGCAGCCTTGGACTTCTTCTAGGCCATTGGCCTCTTAATTTTGCTGGTGATCAGGGGACAAATAACATTTTTTTTCTGGTGGTGACCACTTTTAGGTCTTCCCTGGTGCAAGCATGTGGTCCGTGCATGTAGTTCTTTTAGCACTAAATAACTACTTTAAATTCTGGGAAGTTATAAATTGGCAGCAATGATGTAGTAACATCTTAAAGTTCTTGAGAATACTTAAATTTTAATAATTAGGATTTAAAAAGTAAATATATTAAAATTTGAGGTCACTATTACACAATAGGGAGCTCTGGTAGCATAGTGCCTAAGGCATTTGACCGCTAACCAGAAGGCTGGCGGTTCAAACCCACGAACCACTCCTGGGAAGGAAGGTTGGGCAATCCACTTCCGTAGTGATACTGTCTCAGAAACTCACTCTTACTGTATACCCAGCATTGGCACAAAGTAGAGACTGAGTACATATGTGTAGAATTAATAACTTGAATTAGCCTTTATACAGATATACATTGAGAAGGGGGAGCTCTAGTAGCGTAGTGCTTAAGGCATTTGACTGCTAACCAGAAGGCTGGTGGTTCAAACCCACCAGCCGCTCCTGGGAAGGAAGGTTGGAGAATCTACTTCCACAGTGAAGCATCTCGTAAACCCAAGGAGGGGTCGCTATGAGTCAGGTCCGACTCAATGGCACATAACAACAACACAACTACACAATAATGCACAAGGTTGCTTTGTACTTTTTAATACTGTGACAAACTCAAAACTTGCTTTTAATAATATGATTTTTTTTTTTTTTTAATTTGGGATTACTCCTCTGATTTTAGTGAAAATGTTATTTGGTCATTATTTGTGATGTTCTACACACATAGAGGATATAGGACACCTAGAGTGGAAATTGACTGGAATTTACAAGCTTGTAGGAGCTCTGGTAGTGCAGTGCCTAAGGCACTTGACTGCTAACCAGAAGGCTGGCGGTTCAAACCCACTAGCCACTCCTCAGAAGGAAGGTTGGAGAATTCACTTTCGTAGTCATACCATCTGAGAAACCCAAGGAGAGGACACTATGAGTCGGGTTCAACTGGATGTCACATAACAACAACAACATAGTCTTTGCAAGAACATAATGAAAACCTTGTAAAATCCAAAGTGACTAGAGGATACCATTTCACATTGTAAAAATACTATTTTCTGTATTTGTTGTTGTTATGTGCCATGGAGTTGGACCTGACTCACAGCGTCCCGTCCTTGGGTTTACGAGATGCTATCACTGTGGAAGTAGATTCTCCAACCTTCCTTCCAAGGAGCGGCTGGTGGGTTTGAACCGCCGGCCTTCTGCTTAGCAGTCAAATGCCTTAAGCACTACGTATGCTACTAGAGCTCCCCCTTCTCAAGGTATATCTGTATGAAGGCTAATTCAAGTTATTAATTCTACACATATGTACTCAGTCTCTACTTTGTGCCAATGCTGGGTATACAGTAAGAGTGAGTTTCTGAGGCAGTATCACTACAGAAGTGGATTGCCCAACCTTCCTTCTGAGGAGTGGCTGGTGGGTTTGAACTACCAGCCTTCTGGTTAGCAGTCAAATTACAACTTTAGAAACTCCACAGGGCAATTCTACTCTGTCCTATAGGGTCACTGTGAGTCAGAATACTCTGTGCAATGGGTTTGGTTTTTCTGTATTTCTTATGTTAAGAGTTGTCATTTGTTTTATCTCCAAGCCAAATTTTGGGAATGTTGGGCAATCTACTTCCATAGTGATACCACCTCAAAACCCACAGAGGGGTTGCTATGAGTCAGGTCTGACTCAACGGCACATAACAGCAACAACTAACATAGAAAGTCCTATTTGAAATTAAATGTTACCATACATTACTAAGGATCCCTGGTAGTGCAGTGGTTAAAGTGCTCATCTGCTAACAGAAAAGTCGATGGTTTGAACCCACCAGCCACTCTACAGGAAAAAGATGTAGCAGTCTGTTCCCATAAAGATTTATAGCCTTGAAACCCTTGCTTTGCGAACTACACTACTCATAGTTCTACTATGAGTTGGAATCAACTCTACCACAATGAGTTTGGTTTCAGTTTTTATACATTACCATCAATGCAAAGATTAATTCTTCAAATTCACAAGGCAAGAAAGATTTCCTGGAAAAAAAGGCAGAGGACGTGGGCTGCTGTGGGTGGTTGAGAGAGCTGAGTCACTGGGAATTTGAGATCAGGTGTTTGGAGATTTAAGGAGAATGTAAGCATTAAGCAATATCATCTTTTTTATTTAAGACCAATCCATTTTGTAGTTTCTTTAACAAATCCTATCACCCAGTACAATCCCACCTTTGACATTAAAATATGTGACAATTGTCAGTCCCCCTCAATTACCTGGGGTCAAGAAAAGAGGCAATACAAGAGCCAAGCTTTTCTACGGTGTTTCTGTTTCTTTAGAATTACCACTGGATCTTACAAGTGCCAACCACTGGGGCATACTCTCTCAGGTAAACATTAAGACTAAACTATAAAATATTTTGAAATGTACTCATGAAGAAGGTGGATGAAGAGACAAAACCTGTAGACAGAAATGAACGAGGAAGCAATACACTAGAAAGATGAGAATTTCTAGCAATTTATAAATTTCAGCATCTCCTGTTATCTTTTAATCTTTTTAAGTCACATGTTCACCACTTTAAATGTAGTTAAGTTCACAAATACTTTTGGTGTCCCTGTTTTAGTGAAAGGAGCCCTGGTGGTGCAGTGGTTGAGAGTTCAGCTGCTCAGCATTTCCAACCCACTTGCCGCTCCATAGGACAAAGATGTGGCAGTCTGCTTCCATAAAGATTCCAGCCCTGAAAACCCTACAGGACAGTTTTGCTCTGTCCTATAAATTTAATGATCTAATACATGTCCTCTGGTAACATAGTGCCTAAGCCACTTGACTGCTAACCAGAAGGTTGGCAGTTCAAACTGACCAGCCACTCCTCGGAAGGAAGATTGGGCAATCTAATTCCATAGTGATACCGCCTCTGGTAGCTTAGTGCCTAAGGCACTTGA